TGGTAGTTTAAGGTCTTTGTGGTAGTTTAATGTTTGTTTGTGGTAGTTTGGTGTCTTTGTGGTAGTTTAGCCTTTGTTTGTGATAGTTGAGTGGGGTTTTTCTGGGAGTGTGGGGTCTGTGTGGTAGTTTCGAGTCTTTGTGGTAATTTAGTTTTTATTTGTGGCAGTTATGTGTTTATTTGTGGTAGTTTAGTACTTCTTTGTGGTAGTTTAGGGTCTTTGTGGTCGTTTAGCCTTTGTGGTAGTTCGGTGTGTTTTTTCTGGTAGTTTGGGGTCTATGTGGTAGTTTAGGGTCTTTGTGGTAGTTTAGTATTTGTGGTAGTTCAGGGTCTTTGTGGTAGTTTAGCGTAAATGTGGTAGTTTAGTGTATGTTTGTGGTAGTTTAGAATAAATGTGGTAGGTTAGTGTTTGTTTCGGGTAATTTAGTGTTTGTTTGTGGTGGTTATGTGTTTGTTTTCGATAGTTTAGTGCTTCTTTGTGGGAGTTTAGGGTCAATGTGGTCTTTTAGCCTTTGTTTGTGGTAGTTGAGTGGGGTTTTTTTTCGGTAGTTTAGGGTCTATGTGGTCGTTTAGCCTTTGTTTGTGGTAGTTGAGTGGTTTTTTTTTCGGTAGTTTGGGGTCTGTGTGGTAGTTTAGAGTAAATGTGGTAGTTTAGTGTTTGTTTGTGGTAGTTTAGAGTAAATGTGGTAGGTTAGTGTTTGTTTCGGGTAGTTTGCTTTGTCAGGTCCTGTCCGTGAAGTCACCGTGTACAATTACACAGTGATATAGCTTCTACGACTGAGCTAACGAGAAGCTGCTTCAGTGTTTGCTGCTGTGAGTGATGAGGTAACAGCTGATAATCTTCACAGGGTTACACAGCTCTTCACCTGGCCTCCATTCACGGACACCAGGACGTCGTTCAGACCCTGATCAACTCTCAGAGTGAGTCTGCCTTCACCACCTTTCTTCATCACAGTGTTCAGTATCATTAATGTAATTCATTATTATTTTAATAACTGATGAAGGCCACAGTCGCACTGCACTCTGCAGCCGCCCCATTCTTGTCTCTGATATTTGATGAAGACGAGCTTGATGCTGACGAGGAGACGTTGTTTATCGTTTGGAATATTAAAAAGCAGCATGAAAATTTCACATTTACTAAGACTGATCTCATCTCAGCTTCATTTTCCCAGATCGTTATTGCAGCACCCAGCTCTGCATGCAGACTTTTTAAAATTGTCTGTCGGTTTATGTGCAGATTAAAGTTAAAACAGCAGAAGTTAGAGCAGCGGCTAACAGTCAGACCAAAGATCACAATGACCTGTCCGTAAGCTGCAGCTTCGTGTCCGGACTGTTTTTCCACTGAAGCACGATTCATGTGAGGATTTTTCTTCGTGTGAAGTTTTCAAATTGACATTCACACCACAAATCAAATAGCGAGGGATTGTTCTCCTGCACGCCTCACAGGCTGGCAGAGGTGAAGAAGCACTGATGCAGATCACCTCTGCCAGACAAAAGACCCACCCAGCGCTCAGACTGACAAGTCCAAATGCTCACCTCCGCCCTCCTCCTCAGGAAGAGGCGAGGCGGGCAGTTCGCTAATGAGCTAATGAGGCACACCTGCCCTTCAGGCCACCAGGCGCTTCATGATGGACTTGTGATGATCCCTCCAGAGCAGCGGTTTGAACCCCTGTAGCCACAGACTGCCATATGCTGTGAGTCAGAGCGCGCAAACGGCCGCCGACATGTACGGTCTGCAGGGTCAGACACGAAGCATGTTTCCATATGGCCACGGAGGAGAACCCGCCAAAATAAAACGCAGCAGGAAATCAGCAGATCTGAGCTGCCAATCAAACGGTTTCAGTTCAAACTGTATTCACGTGAAGCTCCACCTGCTGCAGCTTCTGACCCACGCCGGTGGCTCGGATATAAACGGGTCTCCAGCCTTCTCCCAGATTCCTTAAGGACTTTGTCGTTTCTGTGCCAGGGAAGATGAGACGATGAGTTTGCATGTTTTCGATTTTAGCATGCAGAGTTCACAGACTCCTGAGACGATACAGAAGCCAAACTGTGCAGGACGTCAGTGAGAGCTCCTGAAAATCACACCAGAAAGCAGCTGGAAACCAGGGAAATTACAGCAGCCGGACTCAGCTGGTGCTCCGAGTGCAGATATGGTTTCAGGAAAAGGCCTCCTCGCTGCCGTGGAGGCGAGCTTTGGTTTCTCCTTCTGAGGCCGGTGGGTGGAGCGACAGTGGGAGTTAAACAGTCTGTAATGACCAGAGTCGGTTACCAGCGGTAACCATTAGCTGCTGCGTTCAGCCTCCAGCCTCCACAAAAGGGATATCACCGTGAGCCGCATGTGTCCTGATTGAACTTCCCCAAGTTTTAAATGTGGCATCAAACAGTAAAGTTCAGCAGGAATATTCATCCCACAGCAAAAAGCCTGCAGGAGAGCGTTGGTGCAAACACGACACACAGGGCATTCATCACCTGATGTTTGGTACCCTGGTGCTGAAGCCTGCCCAGGCTCTGCTTCAGCGACACCAGAGGGGTGAAACATGATGTTAAACATATGAAATGTTCCACTCTGAGCTCTGGGAAGATGTATGTTTTGATCCCTGTTCAAAATCCAATTTTAAAAACACTTCCGACTAAAGAGTCAGGATGGAAACAGAGTGATAGATGTGAGCGACACGAGAAACTTCAA